ACCTGGGCTACACAGCAAGCCCCTGTCTCAAAAAAAATTAAAACAAAAAGTACATGAGGACTTGGGGTGTAGCTTAGTTGTAGAACACCTGCTTAGCATGTTGGAGGCCCTGGGTTCAATTCTTAGCAACCCTCTCATTTCCCCCACCAAAACTATAGAAGATGTCTAGTTCTCTAAATCCTTTTCATACTTGATACTGTGAAATTTTAACATTTTTTGCCTTTCTAATGAAAGAGATATATTTCCATTTCCATGATTATTGGTGAGAATGAACACTTCATTATTTTTTTTTAGATATTGGCTTCTTTTTGCCTGTGACTTGCCCTGTGTATGCCATTTTCTAAATATTTTTGGCCTTTCTCTTCTAGATTTGTGAGAATTCTTTAAGTAGTTTAGGTATTTATTCTGTTTCAATTGTAAATATTGCAAATTCTCCTAATCATTGCCTTGTATTTTTCATTTTTAATGGTTTCTCAATCTTTTCCTTTATGCTTTGAGATTTTGCCCTTATTTAGGAAATCCTACAATAGTCTTTTTCTTTTGGGGGGACTGGAGTTTGAACTCAGAGCGCCATGCTTTGTAAAGCAGATGTTCTACTGCTTGAGCCACACCTTCAGTCCTACAGTAGTTTTATAAAAGATTAGAAAATATGTATTTTCATTCTGTCAAATTGAAATCCCATCTCACTGAAAGCATAAAATATATAGAAAGTATAGGAAATTGGGTTGTAATGTGTTGAATCTTGTCTTCATGTCTCAGAGAAAGAATAATTCACTACCTTTATAGTCATGGGCTTCATGATTTTATAAAGCATAAAATCAGAGTTCTTCACCTCATTTTTCTGATTTTAAAATTAGACAAGTAGTCTAATTTTAAGAAATACCTTGTTTTTTAGTTAAAAAATTTAAATTTAATTTACATATTAATGTATTAAAATTAAAGAGAACTTGTTCTTATCTCTAAAGTTTTGTTGTGCTGTGTGGGGTACATTGTGACATTTACAAAGGTTCTTACAATGTATCAACTATATCATGCTTGAATTCACCCCCTGGGCTGCTCCCCTTGTGCCCCCGCCCCCCCCCACAGATTCATGGAATAGTAACAACAGGTATTGTATTTACATGCATGTGTGCACATTTTTTGCACTGCAGTCACCCTTTACCCCCTTTCTGGCCACCTTCCCCCTCCACAGGTGCCAACCCTGGTTCTGTCTCCAATTTCTTTTTCTTTTTCTCAGTGCTAGAGGTCAAACCCAATGCCTCATGCTAGGAAGCACTGGATCACTAAGCCACACCTCCATTCTCTTCTCCCCAATTTCTATTTATTCCATCTTTAGTTTCCTGAATGGACTCTGTTTATCTAAGCTTTTTAAGTTCCTAAAGAGTGCTAGCAAAGCTTATTTTGTTTTAAAGTGTAAGTAGGGAGTTTGCTATCAACTATTTTGCTCATAATCTTCATCTTGTAATTAAATGGAGAAAGAAAAACTGGAGGGAAAAGTTTTGGAGGAAAAGACTGGTCACTATAAAAATTTCAAATTATTTCAGCAGTAACTAAAATTCATTCAGGGTTTAAATTTAACTATTCTTAAAGTGTTTTGCTTTTTTTTACCCTCCTGATGCTGGTAATCAAACCCAGGACCTCATATACTTCAAACACTAAAACATTTCTGCGCTAACTGAATATAGTACATATTCTGTGCTAAGTATAGTATTAATATGGAAAGATATTAATATAGAAAAGAAGATATGAGGATGAACCAATAGAGTAAAAAAGATTGCAGGCATGTGGGGATTTGAGGAAGATGTTGGTTAAAGAATACAAAATTTCAGTTAGGAGAAATAAGTTCAAGAGACCTATTGTACGTCCTGATCATTACATTAGCAGTATGTATATTGCATGCTTGAAAATTGATAAGTAAATAATTTTTAGTGTTCTTATTACACAAAATTTAAATATATGAGGCAATGCACATGTTTAATAGCTTGCTTTGTTATTTTTATTTATTTTTGTCATCCTGCAGAGTGAACCCAGGACCTTATGCATGCATGGTAGGCAAGTATTCCACTGCTGAGCTACATTCCCAGCCCTAAACAGTTTGATAGCCCATCTACTATGTATATATATATCACAGCATCATTTTTTTTTGAACTATGGACCTTTTGCTTATTAGTTAGGCTAGTCAGGCACTCTACCACTTGAGCCACTCCACCAGCTCTAAAACGTCATTTTCTACACCATAAATATGCATAATTTTTATTAGTCAATTAAAATAAATATGAATAATAAATTGAAAAATTTAAAAGTGACGGGTTTGATGTTTCTATGGGCAAGTTCACTTTGTGAAATGTCGTTAAACTGAACACAATCAAGTTATGTACTTATTTATCCACTTTTCATAGACTACTTCAGTCAAAAGTTTACTTAAAAAATAGACGTAAGAGATAGATCAGCACAGTGCAGTGTATGGGTCCTGATTCCAATGAAGTTACATGAAGGAGTCGTATTATTATTATTAAATAATAATAATTAAATAACATTGTTATTATTATTAAAGTCATTACTTTAAGAGGAAGAGTGGTATAGTAGTAGTTATTTATTTTCTTAGTCCTTATACTTTAGAAATGCAGGGAAGTACTTAATGGACACAATTAAATGATATCTTGGGTTAGTTTCAAAATAATCCACTGGGGAGGAATGAATAATGGGGATAAAGAGTAAACAAGATTGGTTTTATTTGACACTTGTTTAAACCAGATGATGGCTATATTGGGGCTCATTATGGTCCTCTACTTTTCTGTAGGTTTGAAATTTTCTGTAATACAATTAAAATGTTTACACACATATGCACATATGTGGAGTTAAATTGACACTCCACCACTTCTCACAGGATTAATTTTTCAAACTTACCCTTAATATTCTTATCTTAATCTTGTGGAGGAGACAAGGAATTTGTTGGAAATTTTCATTACTCTTTTTAGTCACAGGATGGCACTCTTTGAATAAGTAATTAGCCAAAGTCTACTTCTTACTGAAAAGCTCCTTCCCAATCCTGCTGCTTTCCTACTGAAGTTTATTTTAACTGAGAGTAAAAACTTTTCAGGTAGCTTGTGTGATGGTTAGTGTTCATACCTTGACTTACTTTTTCAAGGCTGGGTTCACTTATCGAATACCGGGTTTTGAAAAATTAAGGAAGGTTAAGTTCACGTCTATTTAACAGGTGATTTTATGTAAAAAACGAAAAACCCCAAAGCAACTCTTGTGACCCCTCTTATTTTTGGTGTTTACAATTATTGCTGTGAGGTTTAGCTACCTCATATATTTTACACACACACACACACACACACACTCAGACACATTATCTTTATTTAAAACTGTCAATGGCAACCAGAGCATAGTCCTGTGTTTTAGATGGCATTTAGCCAGCTACTACTGATTAAGGTCAAGATGAGGACTATTAATTCTGGACAAATGCTTTCCCCTTTCTACCCTTGAGGAAGCATTGAAATGACTGTATTGTTAGACGTTCTCAGTCTGATTCATGTCTTCTTTTAGCCAACTATTCATGGATTCACCAGAAGAATTACACCTACTACCTCCGGCGTAGGAAGGAAAAAAAAAATCAAATGGGCAATAACGTTAGCAGAAGGTAGAAATTCAAGAACTGATATTTACAAAAGTCTTCCTCCTATCCCCTTCCCTCTGGTCCAATTCTCTTTCTGGTTCTGGCCATTGGAAACTGATTTGGTGTTAACTAAGGACTGGAATGTCTAGGCGTTAATTCCCCTCCCCCATCCTCGGAAACTCTTAAACAGTTCCCTACCCTACACTCAATGGCAGAGACAGATAAATGATGCAGCAGATTACACCGCCGAAAGGCAACGTTTGTCCTGAGCTATTTTCACATTCTCTCCTCTTTCCGATTTGTGTGTCAGAGTTTGTTTACTTAGTTAGGACCTGAAAACATATTGGGCATTTTTTCCACAGTTTAATGCAGTGGCTTTCTTCCTGCAAATGAAAGTGAAAGCGCTACATTGTAGTGGTAGTTTACTCTTTAAGGCTAGACTGGCAGCTGGCTGTGGAGGGGGAGGGTGGGATTGGAAGCCTGAAGAACCAGTTTTGAGGTTTTGTTTGTTTATCTGAGATCGCAGCAGGGTTCCTATTTTTCCCTTCTACCTTTTGGGGGGAGGGTCTGGTTTTAGATTTTTTTTGGGTTGGGGGGAGGTCTGGTTTTGAATTTATTTCCCTTTGGGCAGCCATTGAAGTTTCATTCAATGTACTGACTCTAAAAAAATATCTACACTTTACTTGTAGCTTTTCCCGGTTGGACTTTAAACATCATCCAGTCTCACCCTCATCTGGAAATAATGCTGCAAGCTTCTTTCTTTCTCCTCCTCCCCCTTCCCCACTTTTTTTTTTTCCTTTTAAATCCCCACATAACCTGAAGTCGATAATCAGATGGAAAATGTGCAGGTTTTAGTTTACTTTCCTTATGGTGGTAACCTTACTTGTCGAAGTGTGCGTACAACAGAGGCGTTTTGTACATATGTAGCAACCGAGTCTTAAAATCTGCCTGTTCCACTGATCTAAAATTTGCTATGATTCCTCAAAGGCACTGTTTATGTGCAGCCTTTAACATTTTTTATTGCATGAATTTGAAAAATACACTGAAGATCCTAACAGTGACATTAGTCCACATAAAGTCAGTTATCTCTCCCTCCCCCTTTCCTTTTTCCAAGAAACACTAATAACAAACCAAGTTAGAATTTCTAAAAGAGTTTAGAGGAGGAGGAGGAAAAGAGGCGGAGTGGGTTAGGGAGAGAGGTTGCAGGGGCCAGAATTTCTCTCATTCACAGGGTGGAAAAGTTGATAGTGTCTAACCCCTTCTGAATGGCTGGTCGTCGGTTTCCCCGATTGTACCTCTACCTCCCTTCCCCCTCCACGTGACGACCCAGGACACATGCGCACCCGACGCAGCCCAGGCACATCTGCAGACTGACGTCAGTGTGCTCTGCCTCTGAGGAAAAGCTGCCAAAATTTTCTTCTGCTGCAATTCAAGTTGGCTGGGGGCCGGTAGTGAGATCTAGGGCTACTTCAACAAAACTTTGCTGCCCTTCCTGCTCCTCTTGTCTTCTTTTCTCCTGATACCTTTTGATGCTCTGCACATGTTATTTGCATAGCAAAGGCACTAAGCTGTCCAGGAAGAGAGGGCACCACTTCCACCCCCATAAGCCTTTTTTCCCTTCTTTTCTTTCTTTTTTTCCTTTCCTTTTTTTTTGGGGGGGGGATAGAGAAAGTGGGTTTGCAAAGGCACATCTCAGGTTGATAGCCTGGATGTATTGAAGGCATCGCTTTTTTTGCTAAATCGGAAAGACCGTTCTTTAAAACCCGGGTTAGCCAGACTATAGGATTTTATTCTGGCTGCAGAATAACTGGCTGGTGTGGCTTTGCAAAGGGGGGCAAAAAGAAAAAAAAAGTTAGAGAGGAGAGGGAGTACGTGAGTCGTCCAGTGCAATCTCTATTGTTTGAAACTTACTTTTTATCAGAATTGGAAGATGAAAACGGTAAGGAAGACTTCACAATATTCAATGAAACCTTTTTTTTTTTAAAAAAAAAAAAAACAACAAACCCAAAACTACTTGTGCTTTGCTTGTCTTCCGAATAACGCTTAGAAAACGCTCTCCTCTCTCTCTCTCCTCTCTCTCTCTCTCTCTCTCTCTGTATGTGTGTGTGTGTGTGTGTGTGTGTGTGTGTGTGTGTGTTTTATGGCAAGGAGTGAGCTTGACTGAACTCATTTTACAGATAGAAATCTTTTTAACTCTAGACTACTCGGGGTTCTGTAGGATTCTGGGACTTGCAAGTATTTTATGATGCAAAAATACGTTTATTATATGAATATACATGTTTTGTGAAGTGGACTTGATTATGATTATTGTGGTCTTTTAACTAATCACCAGTAGTGATGGAGAAAAGTAATAATGATGTGTGTTTTAAATCGTTTTCCAGTTTTCTTAAAGAAAAGCCTTCTGCATTTTATAGTTCCATGTCAGTGTCTTAAGTATTCAGACAAGTGCATATTTTATGCCTGGGCTTAGAGGATAGCAATAATGTGCTAGCTGTCGCCCCAATGCTCTAGGATATGTTAAGCTCTTAATAGGCTAATCAAAGAGATGGAAGCGTGTGTTTTTGATTTACTTTTGGCCACTTGGGACGTGCTAGACTCATAACCCTCCGGAGCCTTGTTTATCAGGGTATGTCTGTATATATGGTGTATGGGACCAAAGTTCAAGAATTGGGGAGAGAGAGCAATAGTACTGGAGGGAGCATTGGAAAACCTCTTTCTGATAACGTGTGCTACATTTTCTGTGTTTGATAATTTCTTCCCTGTTGCACTAGAGGCAAAGAGAGCAAGAGAGAGTGAGAAAACGCACTGAGACAGAACAAGAGAGTGAGTTTCTTACTCTTGTTTTTATTTGAGCTGCCGGTGCAACGCGTTTGGGCCAAATGCCAACTGTCTGGGTCACACGCGTTTTATCCAAATAGATTTAGCGCTGCTGTCTGGAAATGGGCTGCTGAATGTTAACTTTAGGATCAACTCAACCAGGGCAGCTCAGACTGTTACCCTCTGTCTGGATAAAGTGGAGGGCGGGGAGGGGGGTGTGCAAGAGCAGGGGCAGGAAAATGGAAACAGAACCATTGCTTGGAACTTTAAAAAAAGACACCGAGTGTAATTTTCAACATATTCTTTTATGTTCTAATTTTTTGGACTGTTCTTCCCCCCTCCCCCCCCTTTTTTTTAAAGCTTATATTGATTAGACTGAAACTTTTAGAGGTGGAAGTAGTCCTTAGAATTCGTGACGGAAAGAAATGTAACATAAAACTGGTGAAGGAAATAAAGAAAATTAATTTTGGAGATAATTGTTTTCCTGTGCTTTTACCAAAGTGGTAGCTGCCGTCTGGTTTATATTAATTTAGTGCTTAAATGTGACCACTGGCGTATTTGATTTTTGAAGACTAGAGACAAATAAGTTGATTTCAAACAAATCAAATTCATTCATTTTGCCACAAATGGCAGTAAATGAAATCTGTGTAGTGGTATTAATATTTTTGCGATTCCCAAGAGGAAAACCCTGTAACCTCAAGACCTGAGATATTGTAAATACTTCTCATGTCTGGTCTAATACCTGAAAGATTGATTCCTACTCCTGTGTATTCTTACCACTTCTTCATTTCCTTAGCAACCACTAGTCACTAGTAATTAGGGTGGGCCTCTATGCCAAATCTTGCCCTGTTTGTGATGTTAGTACTGAGTAAAGAGAATTATCCTATTGGGGAGAGTAAATAGCATATTTGGAATATTTTGGGGGAGGAGGAAAGTGTGGATAGCTCCTTCAGTTCTGCCAAAGGTCAAAGTTGCTTGTCAACATTTTGCACTAACCTCAAGAAAAAAACCCAAAGTGTTGCTTCTGTTTTCCAAGAAAAAAATTATACTGTAGACAGTGTATATTTACCTTATTATCTGGGGAAAAAATTTTAGACAATATGTAATTTAGGACTTTATTTTGGTACATTTTGTTTTGTATTTTTACTTTTGGCTTATTTGTTTTTTTAATAGATAAGTTTTGAATAGTTTTTGTGTTTAATTATACCTTTCCTTAGAGGCTAATCTCACAAAGTTTATAAATTATCTAAACACCTTTATACTTAGAACCTAGTGATGTCCTTAACATATGGCAGGTGGCAAATATTTGTTGAGAGAATAAATGGAAAGTGAAATGAGAAGTTAATTTTCATGTATAAAAATTAAATAACTGAGGGTACACAGTATTGTTGCTTTTTCCATGGAGACCAAATCAGGTTTAAAATAAATAACTTGAATCAAGATGATTGAAAGAAATGGAGAAGGATGTAAACATGTTCTGTAGCTCCTTAATAATAGTTCATGAGAGGAAATTATTACCATAGCTACTTATAGTGATCACTTCAGTGGGAAGTACAGATAATAAAGGAAAAAGTCAGTTAATTACCTTCAACCAGGGAGAACTACTGAGGGAGTAACTGTACTGCAGGTTGTCAGATTGTATTTCTACATAGGTAGTGTAGCTTCCATGGGGAAGCAGGTAAATTGTTCCTTAACTTTATACCTTTGTGCATTTGTATTATGAAAAGGAACATTTGTGAAATCAAAGTAAAATGGAAGTTTTGATTTTGTTTTCAAAATCGAAATAGTTATAAGTAAAATGATCATGACTTATGTTCTTCACTATTTGCTTAAAAGACAATACAAACTAGTTGATTTAGTCTATCATCATATCCAACTATTCTACATTTTTGAGGGAAGGAGGAACCGAAAACTATTTTTGAAGGGAGGCCTTTGAAAAGTGATGTTGTATAATAAGGTGAGGAGAGCTAACATTTATTTAGCCAGGAAAGTTAAGTATGCAAGCACTACATCAGGTGTAATCTAATTTATTTTCTCAGTAAGTCTTTATAAGGTAGGTATCATTGTCATGATTTACAGATGAGAAAACAGATCCAGAGAATTTGAATAACTTGCAGTCAAACCAGGACCTAAAAGACTTTGTTCCTTCCACACCTAGTAATGCTTTTGCTATACATCTTAAATAGTTAATGTATTGTGATTTCTGGACAATTGTCTAGTAATTTAGTGTTAGTCTGAACTTTGGAATCTGTATTAGGAAAAGTCAAAGCCTATACACATTTGTTTATGGTGTCTAGATAAACCTCAGCAGCTGTCAGAAAATAGTTTAACACATTCACTTGTGTTGTGTAGATGACTGAGAGTGGTTAGATAGGTTAATTGTGATTTTGGTGAGCTCTAGCCAACTAAGCACCAATAACATAGTGCTTTCATAGTTCATTCACTGAGCACTGGAGGCTTCTAAGAAAGTGAGGAGTTAGGGGAGGAAAGTGAGGAAGGCAAAAAAACCTCAAATTTATTGAGTGCCCATGTGACAGATATTATAGCTAGTGATGAAACAAGACCATAACTGGTTTATATAATTTCAGAACTCCTGTTCTTTCTATTGTGCACTAATGCCCTTTCACTGCAAATCCTTAAATCATGGTATTATACTTACAGTCAAATAGTTACATATGACTTTTCTTCTTAAAGCTACTGCCTTAATTAACTTGAGTGTTTTATAGGACAATGTTAGGAAGGGTGAGAGTGAAGGTTATAAAATTGTGAAGAGGAGGAATTTCTCAAGGAACAAAAAAACCAGTTGTTCCCTAAACCAAGTCAACTGTTAGTCATTAGTTTCCATTCCCAAGAATACAGGATAAAAGGATGAGTAATTCAGTACAAATCTATCTCCCCCTACTAGAAAATTAAATCAAATGTGTTAATTATATATTCCTCTTTAAAGGAAGATTACAATTTAAAGTATATGAGGGACTCATTTCATGTTAGGCATTATTACTCAAAACATTGTAGTGATTTGAAAAAAATTAAAACACTAAGAATGAATGTTGTTCATGAAGCAACAAATATACTTTAATATTTCATGGCTAGGTTTGGAGTGTGGAGACTATATGTAAGCAGGTTGCAAACCAAGATAACTGAATTCTTTTTATTACTGTTACTAAATAATAGTTTGATTTAATAACATTATAGATTTTTATCCAGGAAAAGATATATAGTGCCCACTGTCTTGCATAAATAATTGTAGAAGTAATTTTGAGATACAACAATTGTATACAGGATTGCTAAAAAACATTCACATTAATCAATACCATTTATAAGTATCTTGTATGAGATGATTGTATGCAACTACTAATGGATGTTAGAGTGCTTCAAACTGGAAGTGTGATGTAATTCAGAAAATTTAGACCTTTGGGTGAAATGGCCTTGTATGTAAATCTAGACTTATGTTTTCTTACTATCTGACCTCTCTGTCAACTTCTTTACCTGTTAATTGCTAGCTGTATTAGTTACCAATTACTACATAACAAACTACCACAGACTAAGTTACCTAAAAGAACATACATTCACTATCTCACAGTACAGGCATGGCTTAGCTATATCCTGTGTTTCATGGTTTCTTATGAAGTTGCACTCAAAGTGTTGGCAAAGTGGGGTCCCTACAGGTAATTTCACTGGGGAAGAATTTGCTTTTAAGCTCACATATTAAGAGCAAGATTCAGTTTCTTTCGTCCTTTTTTTTTTTTTTTTTAATTCAGTACTGTGTATTAAACTAAAGGCAAGTGCCCTAGCACTTGAACCACATCCCCAGTCCAGGATTCAGTTTCTTGCATGCTATTGGACTGTAAGCCTTGCCAGCGATATTCCAAGGTAGCTCTCATTTTCTTGTGGGCATAGAGCAACTTGCTTCACCGAGGCCAACAAAAGAGAGTCTGCTAGCAAGATGGAAGTTAAAATCTGTTGTTACCTAGTCATGGAAGTGGCACCCCTTCACTGTTGAGGGATTCTCTTGATTAAAATTCAGTTACTCAAAGGGAGATGGCTACACAAGGACATGGATATCAGAAGGGAGGATCTCAAGAGTTGATCAAAATCTGTCCTGCCAAAGGGTAATATCCACTGAATGAGTGTGTTGTGAGTGATGATTAAAAGAAATAATGTATATTTTAAATCCTGTATTTTTGGTGTTACCTTAAACTACCGAACAATTACCTGGTAAGTCTTCTGCATAGGAACAAAACTGTTTCTGTTGTTACTAATACTAGTTTCCATCTTTACCTTTTGTAATAGTTATCTCTAGCTATTTAACTTGAGGAATTTCATTCAGTTCTAGGACCTATCTCAAATGCAACTTTTTTCACACACTTTTTTTTTTTCTCACGGGCTTCTCTTACCTAGAGGTCATTTCCCTCATCTGATCTCCTGTAATACATTTCCATAGCTTCATTATGGCATTTATCAGTCTACTTAGAGTTTTACTGTTATTTAGATTATAAGCTCCTCTGGGGTAAGGATTCTGTCTTAATCTTTTCTGTGTTCCTTAATCCTTTCTGTATTCTGATGTTGTTTTAATACCATCTTTTAAACCAGTGAGGTAATATTTGTTGATTAATTAATTAGCTTTTCCAGCACTTTAATAACTTGTAGAGACAAATGTAAGGAAGTTTAAATGGTTGTGGTTGTTTTATATGTTGTAATACCAATTATTTCTAGTACCACAGGTAATGAAGCACTCCATAGAAGTTAATTTTCCAGTTAACTACAAATATTCTTTTATATTCCTAAAGTGATTTTTTTTAAACTATTACTAATTTATTCATTCACTTACTCATCCATTTTTTTAGGCAACAAACATGTAACAAGCATTTATTATATGATAATGCCATGTATTAGAAATTTGGGATGAAAATCTAATATCTTTTATATACTTCCCTATCTTATTAACAGTAATTTTTCTTATTAAAAGTAATTTAACTATTAATAATACCATGTCTGAATCAGGAAAATCAGATATTGAGGTATAACCATTCTGTTGACTTATATACACAACAGAATGGTTAAGCTATTACCGAATGGTTTGTCTCTACCCCAAGCTGTATTGCTTTAGGGTTCTAAAACTACTTTTTAAAGCTTTTTTTGTCCTTTTTACAGTTTTGCTGTTAGCTAGTTTTTAGTTCTTCAGTTATTTTCTTCTTCTAATGTGTTGTACGCTGGGAAATCAGGTAGCCAAGCAGTTAGTATTCTGAGTATAATGTGAATACATGGACTCAGACTTGTTAGCTGAATGTAAAGTATATGATCTGGGGCTGTGGTGATGCCTGAAATCTGACAGAAGTTTTAAAAATTTATATTCTTGCCTTGCAAGAGCAATACCCTGAGTTTAACCTGAGTACTGCCAAAAAAAAAAAAAAGTGTGTATGTATATATCTATCTATCTACACAGTTGAAATTGCTTTGAGTTGTCTTCTAAGTCATATAAGACTTTCAGATACAGTTAAAGGGTTACAGTAAATGATTCAACTTTTTAGAACTTTTTGATTAGTGTTTGCAGACAGTTGATAAATGTCACTCTGTATTTGTAGATCTGCTTTGTCAGAAAAAAGTGATAGGTGCCTCATAGAACAGCACAACAATCCCTGAATATGAATGGGCTTAAAACACATGTTAAGGAATGGAATCACATACTGTTTGCCAGGTACACATAATGAACTTAGATTATATAGTCTGTTTTTATTTTATCAAAAGAAGATTAGCCTACTGTATCCCATCCATTATCTTCAAAGCTTTTTTTAATTTTTAAAGAGTTTTGATTCTTCATATTCTTTTTTCATTTGTTTGTTTGTTTGTTTTTGTGGTCCTAGGAATTGAACCTAGAGTCTAGTGCATGCTAGACAAGTCCTCTACTATACCAAGCCCCAAGATCCCTTCTTTGATTATTAAGTAGCATCTGTATTACTTTGCTAACCATTTAGGTCTATAATTCTGTGTTTAATTTTGTGAGTATTTATTTAGATTATAAAGAACAACAATGGACTAATTTAATCATATTAAATTGTTCTGTAGTTATTTCTTTGGCAAACATTCAACATAGAGACCTGTCTAGTCATTATAATTTTCAGTTAACTTAATTGTTTGTTTGTTTTTCTAGGCTAAAAAATGACTATACTTGAGTGACTGATCGGGCTGTTCCTTTGCTTATGCAAGTTTTTGTCATCACTTTTTTCATTTTGGATTGAGAACATGAATCCAGATATAGAAGAAAGTACAGGATGTTGGAAAAAAGTATCCATTAAACAGTGGAACATCTAAACTGATTTGCAAGAAGCTTTAAGGAAATAATTGTTATGCTTCGATTTTGGTATGGTATTGACTCTCTAGAACATAGGTAGCCCTCCAAAAACAAGTCATTCAGTTCTCTAAATTATGGAAATTTTGTGGAAGACGTTGACCTGGATTTTGAGCCTCACCATGGCCTCATCAGAATTTCATAATGGCCATAGACTTTCATATAGTTCTCAAGGTAGGATTCCTGCTTTTGAAACTTGACAAAAATATTACTGATAATCAAAAGATTTTGAGTATTTAGTTTTGGTAAACATTTTCTAAGGGTTATGTATGAAAGAAACAGAGGCATACGGTGCCACTTCAGTACTAGTTTCATAAATGTTAAAGGTTCAAAGAGTCTGTTTTAAGAGCCTGTTTAAGGTCCATTAGATTTTAGACTGGTCTTTCTTGGGAAATGATAGATCCCAAGCTTCTTCTAAATCCTAAATTTTATTAGGCTCATTTATTGCTAGGGCTTACAGGCAAGGTCATTTTTGAGGTGAATTCAAATATTTATGGAGTAGAAGATGAAGAAAATAGATAAATTCTGATATAGGACCATTTTAATATATACCTCTCATGAAAAAATACTTTTCTAAATTTAAGAATTCTGATCTAAAGACTAAAATCTGAGTAAAAGAGTGAGAATTGTAAATTCAGTTTTTAAAATTCTAATCCTTATAATCTTAACCTGTAGAGTTGAACTTTATATCATAGGAATGATCTTAACAAAGGAGGTCCCAGGAGTCATTGTTATTTTGTTTTCCATGGGCCAATCCTTTCCTCATAGAATTATTGAAAGCCATAACTTTTGGATTTTCTTCCCATAAATGCATTGTGACATGTCATTTTTTAGTGCTGAGCCAGATTTTCAAGGTTGCTGATATAGATGTGTAGATGTCCATGTGTGTAAAGATTGTTGCTCTCAAAGTAGATCAACAAAACCATGCATTTGCTATGAACTCTTATAAAAGTATGTGAAATAAATGCTGCACTTATTTCCATTGAGTTATGACTTCATGGGAATTTATGCTTATTGGGTAAATTCCATGTATGTGTAGTAAAGCAATGAGCAGAAATTTTGGTTCTCTTAGCACTAAATCTAGGTGAAGAAAGTTATGACTAAGAAGGTAGATATTTAGTATATCTAAGTAAGGAGAATATTAGGTATTACAAATTTTTTGTTATTTTGATGATTTTTTAATCACAATGCCATACAATTCACCCAGTTAAAGTATATAACTAAATGATTTTTAGCACTTTTTACAGTTATACACCAATACCACAATCAATTTTAGAACATTTTCATCACTCCAAAAAGAAAACCTCTACCCATTAGTAATCACTTCCAAGTTTCCTTCAAACCACCCCCATCCCCAGTCCTAGGCAACTTTTAAGCCTCTAACTTTTGTTCTAGAGATTTGCCTATTCTGAATATTTCATATAGATAGGATCATGTAATATGTGTTCTTTTGTGACTGCCTCCTTTTACTTAGCATAATGTTTTTAGAATGTTACAAAATGAATTTTAATTATGAAGGCAGGTATTATGAAGATTCATTCATGTGTTATAGCATGTATCAGTACTGCTTTCATTTTAATTGTAGAATAGTATTCCATTGTTTGGCTATACCACATTCTGTTTATTCATTGGTTGATGGAAATGTGGGTTATTTCCCCTTTTGGGTATTATGAATAATGTTAATTCACCTTTAGGTTTTTATGTGGATGTATGTTTTCATTTCTCTTGTATATATAACCAGGAGTAGGAGTAGAATTGTGGATCATATCATAATTCCATGTTGAACATTTTGAAGAACTGTCAGATTGTTTTCCAGAGTGGCTACAGCATTTTTACATTTCCAGTGATGATTTTGTTACTTAAAAATAATTTCTACAAGGGCATAGAGATTCTTTATAAACTCTTAGATAACTTTCAGAAACAGATTTTATCTGAGATAAACTGTATTCTTTTACATATGTGTACTTTTCTTTTTTTTAGCTCCATAGAAAATTTTCATACTTTCTATAGAAGTTAGCTCTTAGAATCCATGTTTTTAAAATTAAATTTGAAAAAGGAAAGCTAGTCCTTCACAAATACTTTTAAAATAATTTTGTTTTGAAGAGTGAAATAATTGAACTTAATCTTTAGATTTTAAATGTTACTTTTTAATTTTTATTTAATGTAACATTTTTTCATCTACACCCACATATATAATGATGCATAGTCTTAACTGACATGGTTGTTTATATTGCTGCTTCTTTGTTCCGTTAAATTTTCTTTTCTTCCATGTGTTTTTTCTGGATTCTCTGCCTTGTGATTACAAAGAGGAATTCCTGACTTATCTTGAACACTACCAGCTAACTATTCCAATAAGGGTTGATCAAAATGGAGCTTTTCTCAGCTTTACTGTGAAAAATGATAAACATTCAAGGAGAAGACGGAGTATGGACCCTATTGATCCACAGCAGGCAGTATCTAAGTTATTTTTTAAACTTTCAGCCTATGGCAAGCACTTTCACCTAAATTTGACTCTCAATACAAATTTTGTCTCCAAACATTTTACAGTAGAATACTGGGGGAAAGATGGACCCCAGTGGAAACATGATTTTTTAGACAACTGTCATTATACAGGATACTTGCAAGATCAACGTAGTACAACTAAAGTGGCTTTAAGCAACTGTGTTGGGTTGGTAAGTAGATATTATAATTTTAAATTTCTGATGGAAAAATAAGTTCACAATGTAAATGTCTTTCCTCAGATTAAAAATACATATATTGAGCTGGGCGCTGGTGGCTCACACCTGTAATCTTAGCTACTCAGGATTATGGTTTGAAGCCACCCCGGGCAAATGGTTCTGTGAGACCCTATTTCGAAAAGGCCATCACAAAAAAGGGCTGGTGGGGTAGCTTAAGGTGTAGGTCCTGAGTTCAAACCCCAGTACCACCACTAAAAAAAAATATATATATATATGTGTGTATATATATATATATATATATATATATATATACATATATATACAGAGAGAGAAAGAGAGAGAGAGGTGGTTTAAAGACAAAAGTAATAAGCTCATTATTTCTGCTGCCTTTAGCTTTTGATCATCCTTTTAAAAATGTCTGTATTGACTTTTCAAAGAAAAGCTTTTAAAACTCATTATTAACAATAGAGGAATGAATGAAATCTCAGGTTTCCTTTTAGACTTAAGTTTTTCTGTCTAAATAGGGAGGTTTTTGTGCACAAGCAAAACCTAGTTGTTGGTAAGATGTTTCAGGGTATGTTTGAATGTACATGTGTGTTGTGGCAGGAAACCCACAAGTTTCCTTCTATAATATCTTTTTCTTTCTATAATGTCTTTTTCTGATAGGTGACACAGTTTAAAATTACTTACGACCCATTTATGGTTACAAATTCTTGAAGCAAAATCTTTTATACTAGTGTCTATGAAATAATTTATATGAAGATTGATGATAATTTTATTTTATTTACAAAGATGACCCAAATGTACAGGGTTTTTTCCAGGCCTTTGAGTCTATTCTAGGCTAATGGTAAATATAAAGTTTAGAGCTGCACATAGTAATGGTTACAGATCAAAGTGTACTCCCCTACCTTCTCTTCTGCTTTTACCCTGTCAGGTTAACATAGATGTTCCATGAAAGTTTTATCTGTATAAAAGAGTACAAACATTTTCATGCATAAGTTGTACTTTCAGAAATTGTTTTCCTTCTTTATCACTTGTATTATTTATACTTCAATATAACTATATAATTAGAATTAAGTTTAAATAAGTTTTAAATTTGAAAAAACTATGAAGACTACACAATGGAGAAAAATCTCAATGTAAACATACAGAAATTTGTTTGGATTGCCCATTTTCTATAATTTAAGTAAAATGAGCCAATATAATTACTTAGATTTTAAGATTTGTGTTTAAATCCTTATAAATATATACATTGCATACACTTATTTGTAGTTTCTTTCTCTGCACCCTGTTTCACATTATACTTTTTACCCACCAATTTTAGTGTCTTCTTCATTCTTATTTTGTATCTTTTTACTTTTAATCAAATGAAATATGCAAACACATTTTTTTAGAAAATTTGTTTCAAAGGCTACTGCCGTTAATCAACCCTGTTTTTAATTATTTTATATAAAATAGTTTTCAATGAAGAGATTACCAATGTCTTTAATACTTTCAGTGTTACAACCCTTGCACCAAAGAACAAAATTTCTAATATTTCTATTAGTTGTTCCAAATGTTGCATTTTACTTTATGTCTAGACCATAGTTTTCTTACCCAGATTATGTTTTTCTTGAATTTGTAATTACTTTTAGTTTTTCTTATTCAGAAAATATATGATTTCCTTATCAGGTGGCCAATATTACGTAGTTCCTTAGTTTTTATGTTTATTGCTTGGGAAACATTTTATCTTCTTTTTAAAGAAGTATTTTTCTTTGTTCATTTATTAAATTAAATTTGATTTTTTTGAGACATGATCTTACTATATAGCCCAGTCTGGCCTCAAACTGAAGTACTCCTGCTCAGCCTCCTGAGTGCTGGGAGTACTGTGTGTGCCTGTCTGGATATATTCCTTGTTTTTTTTTTTTTTTTTTTTTTTTTTGGCGGTAGTAGGGCTTGAACTCAGGGCCTCACATTTCTTAGGCAGATACTCTACTTCTTGAACCACTCCACCAGCCCTTTTGGTACTGGATATTTTTGACATAGGGTGTTGAGCTATTTTTTCTGGGAGGGCATAGAACCATGATCCTCCTGATCTCTGCCCCCCAATATAGGCGTGAGTCACTGGTACCTGGCCAGATATGTTCCATTCTTATTGGAGACATTTTTCTTAATGCCTACTGGTTACTAATTTCTTGAAGTACTGTACATGTCTTATCTTGGGATTTCTTCTTTCCTAAGTTCTACTTCCTATTTTTGAGTTTATATCCTTGTTCATTGGGCAATGTCCTCAAATAATTATCTCAGAACAGGTGCCTGGGAAGTAAAAATTCTGAGACCTTGCCTATTTGAAGTGATTTTATGTTGCCTTAATGTTTGTGTAATAATTAGCTGAATGTGGACTTCAAGGTTAGAAAAATTATTTCCCTTCAGAAACATTGATGGTGGAATTGGGAACAGGATATAGATGGCATCAAATTTAGCTTTATGAACTTCATATGGTGACTCATGCTTGCAATTCCAGCTACTTGGGAGGCAAAGATAGGAAGATTGTGGTTTGAGATCAGCCCGGGCAAAAGTGTTAGCAAAACTGTCTCAAAGAACAAACTAGATGTGATGGCACATACCTGTAATCCAAGCTGTGCGAATGGCCTAGGTAGGAGGAGGATTATGGTCTGAGGTCAGCCTGGGCAAAAATTTGAGACCCTATCTGGAAAATAATCTACAAGGCATTAAGGGCTGGGGACACAGCTACAGTGGTAGGACACTGCCCTAGCAAGCACATGGCCCTGAGTTCAAATCCTAGCACATCCTTTCCCTTGCAGTTTTTATATGGTATTATATTTTTAGACAAAGGAAAATATTTAAAAGATCTAAAAAAATGACATTTTTTAATTTTTGAAAATTTTCCCTCAATAAAAATTACATGTTCTTTTTAACCTTCCTGTTTTGGGAATTTTATAGTGTGGCTAAGTATGGGTCTTCCTTCTTTAATACCTGCTAGGTATTAAATTTAAAGACCCTCCTTCAGCTTAGGAAAATTAAAAAATTATTTCCTTAATAGTTTTCTTCTTCCTCTCCCCCCTTCTGTAAATGATTCTTTGCTTCTCTTTATCATTCTTTCATTTTTCCATCGTTTGCTTTTTTATTATAAGTTCCATGAGATTTGACCAATTTTGTTTCTTTTCCTTCAATTGACTTAAAAGTTATAGTGGTCATGTAATTTTCATGTGATCTTCCTTTTTCCTTACATTGTGTTTTTATTTCACAAAAAATTATTTTCTCCCAATTCCTCAGCAGATACTGAAGACCACATAGCTAGTTAGAAAAAAAACAGTGAAATTTGAGAATTTTTTCCTGTGGGGGGGACACTTGGGTTTGAATTTAGGACTTTGTGCTTACAAAGCAGCCTTTCTACCACTTTAGCCACATGTCCAGGCCATTTTGCTCTGTTAGGGTCTTCAAAGGTGAACAACAAGATATTTGAATGAGAGGAGGTCAAAGAACCAGGAGGGGAAGGATGGAAGAGATATCTAGGTTAGCAGTTCTTAATCTGGGTCCATGGATGAAATTTAGGAAGTTTTTGAGCTGAAATGGGGAAAAATTATATCTTTATTTTTACTAGTTTTGACTGAAATTTAACATTTTATCCCCAAACAAATCAAATATATTTAGATCATATTACAGTTTTCTTCATGTTTTTCAAACAATTATTTTTATTTATCACTATTGTAAAATTATTATAGTTATTAGAGCCACTGAAGATCTTCTTAAAGTGTTACAAAAGTATATGTATTATGTTTTTTAAAACTTTTGATAACTGTATTTTACTACAGTAGGTTTTATTTGTAATTCTGTATTTTTCCTGCATTTAAAATGTTATTCTGAAAAGGGGTCATAAAGAGTCACTTCTAGATTTCCAAAGGGCTTCAGGGCACATGTGCACACACATAACAAATTTTAACAACCTATGATATAAGAAGATATTGAAATCAACAATTATTTCATGAATGGTATTGCAGAGAGTGACAGTGATCCAAAGCATAAAATCTTTAAGGAATGATAGGAGCAGCTTGGGGTCAGTAGATAACTAAGAGAAAGGGGAGAAGATTATGGCATGAGCTTTGAAGGTGGTGTTTTATTTTGTTGTGTTTTGAGGAGAGAGAATTGTTTGGAAATAGCAGTGGATCACAAGAATCTCACCTTCAGGTGCAATAGAAGGCATGGATGAGAGAAAGTAGCCATCATTCCAGAGGTCTACAACAAGACTTGTCATTTAGGAAATAACAGGTTGTTATTAGAGCAAGATGAAGTGAACATTCACAGATGAGACTAAGGTTATAGTAAAATTTTGTTGATGATTGACCTGAGTTTGAGAGAGCATGGTAAATGATGGAGAAGGGCAGGAGATGGGATCAGAAAGCACGATAACTATATGGAGAATAGAATCCAGAGTATGCAGCTTGAGCTTCTGGTAGGAACTGATGTGGTAAGAAGTCGGGGCATGACGGGGTTAGTCCTGGTAATCCTGTGGCAAACAGCTTAAATCTGAGTGGGGATGCTGAAGGAAGTGAGGAAGTACTCTTGCCAGCCATGTGCACATTTCTGAGACTTCCACTTCACTTAGGTGCTGGCCCCTAGATCCTTTCTAATCTTACCATCCTTCTCCCCTTCTCTCCCTCCAGTCAGTCACTGAAGCTCCAAATATTGCCAGGATTCTCTACCTCATTCTCTTTGCAATTGCTGTTTCTGTGTCTGCCCTCCTATTCTCAAGACATCTGTTTAGGTTGCTCCCTCACTTTATACAGGCTTCTGTTAAAATATCACCTTATTAGAGATGATATCCCCAACCACCCTAAAAGTTTGTATAATCTCTGTATTTTGATTACTCTCTATCCTCTTATGCTGCTTCCACCCTTAACATTTATCACTATTTGCTCAATCACTGACTTATCCAATTAATTACTTTTTTCTAGCTCCCCCCTCCCACTAGAACATAAGCATCAGAATAGAGTTGGAACTTTGCTTAGCTTACTGTTGTATCTCTGTCACCTAGTACAATGTCTGTCATATCACCAGGCATCCAAAGACTGTTTGGTGGATGAATAAAGTCAGAAACTGCCTGTAGAGGATAAGAGAACTCTAGTATAGTGATTAAAAGTCCAAGCTCAATCATGTGAGTTTGTTATTCAACTTTGTTCTGTCTCAGTTTCTCATCTGGGAAGTGGAGCTGATCATAGCATTTCAAAGAGCTTGTAAGATTAAATGTGATAGGGCTGGTGAAGTGACTCAAGTGATAAATTGCCTGCATAGCAAGTGTTGAAGCCTTGAGTTCAAAAATCAGTACTGCCAGAAAAAGAAAGGTTAATGAGATAATGCGTATAAACATTTCACAGACTACTTAACATATAAAATCTCTGGATTGCCCTTTGTTTAAATTATAGATTTTGTTTCCTTAACCAGATTTCTGACTTCATTTTCCTTCAGCATTCTGGGTTTCTTATATGGGATCTTTCAACTTCCTAGTCTTTCTGGGGAGTACCCTAGACTCCACTTTCTATACTTTCCTCTACCTCTATTCAAAGCTCAAAACTCTTATAGAAACTTTCCCCCTTTCCTGCCCAAACTGTTCACTGCTAATCTATCTGGTAAAGGAATTCATGTTCAGGTATTGGAGTTTCTTAATGGCATATTATGTTATTCCTGTTCATATTTACATTTAATATAGGGACACTTACCCATACACTAAAGCAAACAATTCTAAAAACTTGTATGAAGTGACTAAGGGATGCTTTTGTTTTTTTTCTTCATTTCTCAACTCATTTCATATAGATTATAGGTGACCACCAACTTCATCTATAAATTAGAGCATGTCTGATTATGTCTTATCTTTCTTTCTAAGCATTTACTATTTAAAATTAATTTCTCTAAACAAAATTATGGAGGTTTAGAATAGAAAGAGACCTGAGAGATTATCTGGACCTGAGATTTTCAACATTTTTTTTCTTTTTAAAGCATTAAAACCCTTTTCTCATATTTTATGTGGAAACTTAATATACACATTAATAAAGGCACAGCTGATTCTAAACTGAGGAATCCAAGCCATGTAGTTCTCCCTTTGTTGTCTGGGGCAATCCCTGGAGGGCACTTTCATGGAACCCCTAGGGCTCCACAGAGTGCTGTTTAAAACTAGCAATTTACCAACTCCTTTCATTTTCCCAGTTGAGGAAATAAGCTCAGAGAGTTTGTGTTTCATTCAGTGGTGCAGTATGGTTGGATTAAGAACCACCCTCACATATGTCATACTTAGGAAAACACTATTAGATAAGGTATTAGGTATTTTTTGGAAGTTCTTACTTTTGATGCAGATGACTTTAACCATCTTATTTCTTGTCATCAAAAAACTTTAAAACCTACTGCATACGAGACATTTTCTGTGGCTGTAATGGATATATAGAAATGTAAGACATGATGATCCTTTGCCTGAAGGAAGAAAATAGTCTCATCTGGAAGGATAATACATGTAGTTGAAAAGTTACTCTTAGCCTAAATAAAAAAGATTTGAGATTCAATAACAAAGCATGTGGCATTAACTGAAAATAAATGATACTGATAATAAACTCTATTGGAACACAGAGGAGAGAGAAGCTACTCCACTAGGTTAGAGAAACTTCTAAAGAGGAGCACAACTTAAGTAAATAGGTGTAAGGTGATACAGTGTATTGAATAACACCAGAGCTTTGCTTGAATTCCAGCTCCTTCCTTCTATATAGTATTAGCCAAGTTCTTGACCTCTGAGTCTGTAATTTCATCTGTAAAATGGGGATGTTTGGGATGTATGTTAATTAAGGACATATTAATTGGTGTATATAATTCAAAATGTTAGTGGTTATCACAATAGAAGTTTATTTCTTCCTTATCAGTGTTTATGTCAGGTAGCTTTCCAAGAGGTCACTTAGGCATCCAGGTTCCTTCACCCTTCGGCTGCTTTACATCTTTGAAGTGCTTTCCATTCAGTATGCAGTAGAGAAAGGCAGTAGAGAGATATTCAGGTGCTGGGCCTAAAGGTGATACACAGCCCTCTGCCTATTCCTTATTAGCCAAAATTTAATCAGAAAGCTGTATGTAAACATAGAAGATATGAGCAAATTTGAAAAGGAAGTAAGTTTTAGAGTTCACATAAAGGTCTCTGCTACCTCACAGAATTGTTGGGAAAACTGTATGTGATATGCTTAGTATGGTGCATAGCACATAGAAATATGTAAACATCCTTCTTTATGTAATGGGGAAATTTTTATATGACGTCTTACTGAGTAAAGATGATACACTAAATTTCTTATTAACATGTACTTTAACCTCCTTTTTGGAGTTACCAATTTATTTTTGACTCTTGGTAATAATAACTAATATTTAAAGTGATTCTTCTTGATAAATTCTTTGTTTTTCTTTTAGCATGGTATTATTGCTACAGAAGATGAAGAATATTTTATTGAGCCTTTAAAGAACACCACAGAGGATTCTAAGCAATTCAGTTATGAAAATGGCCATCCTCATGTTATTTACAAAAAATCTACCCTTCAACAACGGCATCTCTATGATAATTCTCATTGTGGGGTTTCAGGTGAGTGAATAGCTTTTGGGAAGTATATTGCATTGTATTGCTGCTTTCTCTTTCTTCTGCCAAGTATCATATTATTAATAAAAGTACAGGTGAATTTAAGTAATTAGAATTAATAATGTCCACAGCCCTCTTAAAAATTGTTTTAAGTCAATTGGGAAGCTCTTTGAGAAATTCTAAAAATATGAGTCTATGTAAAATTTGATATATTTTTTTCTTGGAAGAGAAAAATAGTTTTTTCTCCAGGTAATAGTTACAATTACATATACAGGTGTTCCAAAATACTCTGAACTATTTGGTTGGGCTGATATTTTCATGCTAGTAGCAGGAATCTAAACACTTGAATAAGACTTAAAGAGTCTGAAGGTACTATTCAAAAGTAATGATAGCATTGAATTAGAGAACTGTAGAACTATATAGTAGGGACGACAAATCTAGATTTCAGTGGTCAAGGAAAGCGTCATGAAAGAAATGATCTCAGTCAAGGCCTAAGTTAGGCAAGAGTGGAGCAAGCTGACTATATTGTTTCCCATAGAGGGAGCAGAGTGTTATAAAGCCTAAAGAGAGAATGGCACAATCCAGAAATTGACAGTTTGTATAACTGGATATTAGAATGTGGGTTAGAGGGACAGAAGTTAAATTCATGACAGCTGAGAGTTGTGTTTGTGATTTTTTGAAACTAGAGAGAGAGGAAGAGCCTACTATGAAGGGCTCATAAACCATATTATGGAGTTTGTATACCATAAGTGTGCTAGAAACCTATTAAAAGATTTAAGTAATAGTTATAGAAAGACTATTCTGTCAGCTGTATGGAGATTGAATTAGAGAAGAGTAAGACTAGAGGTAGGGTGTTAGGAGGATGTGAGTCTAAGATATGAAAACTTTTTTTAAAATTTTTATTGTTTTATTATTCATATGTGCATGCAATGCTTGGGTCATTTCTACCCCCTGCCTCCACCCCCTCCCTTACCACCCACTCAGCCCCCTCCCTCTATCCCCCACCCCCTTGATACCTGGCAGAAACTATTTTGCCCTTATCTCTAATTTTGTTGAAGAGAGATTATAAGCATTTTTCTTGATCTGTTTGTCAGTAGTGGGGCATCTTGGCTGTTTCCATAACTTGGCTATTGTGAATAGTGCTGCAATAAACATGGTTGTGCAGGTGCCTCTGGAGTAACCTGTGTCACAGTCTTTTGGGTATATCCCCAAGAGTGATATTGCTGGATCAAATGGTAGATCAATGTTTAGCTTTTTACGTAGCCTCCAAATTTTTTTCCAGAGTGGTTGTACTAGTTTACATTCCCACCAACAGTGTAAGAAGGTTCCTTTTTCCCCCCGCATCCTCGCCAACACCTGTTGTTGGTGGTGTTGCTGATGATGGCTATTCTAACAGGGGTGAGGAGGAATCTTAGTGTGGTTTTAATTTGCATTTCCTTTATTGCTGGAGATGGTGAGCATTTGAATTTCTTCTTTTGAGAAAGTTCTGTTTAGTTCACTTGCCCATTTCTTTATTGGTTCATTAGTTTTGGGAGAATTTAGTTTTTTAAGTTCCCTATATATTCTGGTTATCAGTCCTTTGTCTGATGTGTAGCTGGCAAATATTTTCTCCCACTCTGTGGGTGTTCTCTTCAGTTTAGAGAACATTTCTTTTGATGAACAGAAACTTTTTAGTTTTATGAAGTCCCATTTATCTATGCTATCTCTTAGTTGCTGTGCTGCTGGGGTTCCACTGAGAAAGTTCTTACCTATACCTACTAACTCCAGAGTATTTCCTACTTTTTCCTGAAGATACGAAAACTTAAGAGAAATAGTGGGCATAGCATAGCAAGTGAAATAAACATGGCCTCTGGTACAGCTTTGGACAGATTTCCAGACCTCCCTGACTACTCATCTCAGCACACATTAATTACTCTGTCAAATTGTACCTTCATTATTATTAGGATAACTGTTTCCAGTAGTAAAAGAGCTATAATGTTTGTTAAAATGTAGATTTAAAAAAATTTTTTTAAAAAATTTGTACTGTGTAGTTCCAGTAGCTGTTAACTAGAGACAAAATATTTCAGAGGGAGAGTTCAGTTTAATGCGAAGAAAAGTTCACCAACTCATAGATTTAGAAAAAAAAATGGAATGGGTTCCCTTGTGAATTAGTGAATGCATTATCCTTTGGTTTTTCTCCATATTCTTCATGGGGTCATTTTCTTCTTTCTCAAGTGTTTCAATGATCTTTGGAGTTCTGTGTTCAACTGAATCTTCTCATTCTGCATACTTTCTTCTTGAGTGAGGTTTTGAAAATGTCTTAGGCTTTTAATTATGGAAGGTTTTTGTTGGTCAAGAATAGTTGATACAAAGGGCTGGCAGAGTGGCTCAAGTAGTAGAGCACCTGAATTCAAACCCAGTACCCTCCTCCCCACGCCAAAAAATAGAGAATGCTAGAAAAAGTCCAGTTAAAGTGAATCCATTCCAAATACTTAAAACATGAAACAAAATTCCTTAGTAAATAATGAAAAGGTTCGACTGAGCCTTTATTTTGAGTAATAAGTCTAAACATTGTGGAAAAAAGTTTACATTTAGCAAAATTTAGAGTATAAGTACAATTATATATGAATTTTTTTAAAATTAGGATTCAAATATTTAGGTGTTTATTTTGATGTGATTTTCCTATTGTTCTTCCATAATATAACATCTTTTACTTTATGATTATAAATACTTTGTAATGATTATGAAAAAGTATTTAAAGTTTTCTTCAGATTCTAAAAGGTATCGCTTAATCTTTTGGTATTCCCATTAATCTCTTATGAAATACATATTACATTGTTTATCTCAGGCAGACTTTATTTTTCAGTGGTTTAAGCATGAGTCAAACACTTTCAAAGCCATTCTTGTTGCTCTCTTAAAATTCTACCCTTTTTTTGAGATTTTTTTTTTTAAACTATCTTTCCCCTAGATTACTGAGATGATTTCTTAAACAGTCCTCCCTTTCAATCCATAGCCCCTAATACCAGTGCAGTTATTTCAGCCCGTCATCATCTCTTGCTTACACTACTGTGCTGTCTTTCTAACTGTGTTTTTTGTCTCTAAGTTTAATTTACCTGTTTTTAGTCAATCTGTCTCTTAAATCTGACTGCATCACACCTTCAAACAACTTACTGACTTCCCATTAGTGGGAATATTGTAGTTGTTCCCTGAGTTCTGGGTAATATTACTAGATGATACTGAGAAAATAGCACATTGTGTTTAATAAGTTTGGGAAATTTCTAGCCAAGAATTTTGCTGAACTTTTGTTTTTGTGGTACTAGGGATTGAACTCATGGCCTCACGCTTGCTGGGCAAGCACTCTACCATTTGAGCTATACCCCCAGTTCTCTAGTGAAGAACTTAATACTTGTGATACTGTTTCAACAGCACAGGTCAATTGAGAGATGTGAGTTTATAGACATCCACTGCCAGTTAGTCTGTTATGAGGAACTCAAGTTTATGTCAAAATACAGACTATAAAAACTTTTATTGGGCATAATTATCTCACATTTAGATATGAACCCCCTCCCCTTTTTCTATGGTACTGGGGTTTGACGTCATGGGCCTCACACTTGCTAGGCAGGTGCTTTTCTATTTGAATCATTCCTCCAAGCCTGTTGTTTTGTTGTTGTTTTGTGTGTGTGTTGGATATTTTTGAGATAGGGTTTCACAAATTATTTGCCCAGGTTGGCTTCAAACCTCGAATTCCCCCTTGTAGTTAGATTCAAACTTGAATTTAAAACAATTTTAATGGAAGCAGTAAATATTCTTGTGGTACCTGGGATTGAACTCAGTGCCTTATACTTACTAGGCAGACACTATTCTGCTTGACTTACACCCTGAGTCCTTTTTGCTTTAGTTATTTTTTGAGTAGGTTCTCACATTTTTTTTTGCCATGACCAGCCTGTACGGCGATCCTCCTGTTTATGCCTCCAAATACGTGGAATGATAGGCACGCACCACAATACTCAGTGTATTGGTGGAGATAGGACCTTGCTTACGTTTTGCCCAGGCTGGTCTCTTTAACTGTGATCCTCCTGAGTAGCTGGGATTATAGATGTGAGCTACTACACCTGGCTATGAAAGTTCTTTTCTAAAAAACTAGAGAATACAGGAAAAAGAAAAAAAAAATCACTGTTATTCTTGCACCGAGAATATCCTTTCAGTTCATTGACATAGATAATATTGTCTCTAGGTCTGCATTATCCACTTATATATTTATTCAGTAAATATTCATTTAATACTTTATGCAAAGCTGTTCTTAGGAACTGAGAATGCAGTAATAAATAAAGCTGAAAAGGTCCTTGGTCTCATGGAACTTGTATTCTAGTGAGGAAAGACAAATAATGAACTATACTACTCAAAAACCAAACATGTAAATACATAATACAAGAGAATAAATAATTAAGAAATAATAAATGCCCATGAACAAAAAATAAAACAGATAAATGAAGTGATTGTGAATGGCTATATATATGCAAACATCTTGATAATGGTCAAAAAGTTAAAATCATGCTTCGGATGGCAGTGAAATCCATATATGGGTGTAGGAAGAAAGTTATTGAGCAAAGCATATGTAACAAGTGTCATTTAAACAATTACTAATCATTATTTTGAAACAAAACAAGTCAATCTTGAATTTTTCTTCCTATTTTATTTTGTGGTACCAGGGATTGATTGAACCTAGGGTTTCAACCATGCTAGGCAAGTGTTCTACCACTTGAGCCATACCCCTCAAACTTAAAGTTTTAACTAACATCAAATTTTTTTGTTTTGTTTTGTTTTTAAACTACTGGTGTTTGAACCCAGGGAGTTGTGTATGCTAAGCAAGTCCTCTCCCTCTTAAGCTGTACTCCAGCCTTACTTTTTTAAAAGCCCTAGTAATAAAAGGTTTCTTTAATATTGAAGAACCAGATTTCTAGAAAACAAAGGATATACTATAATTTTGACCAACTGTGGCATAAAGCAATTTGTACTGAGTCATAGTTTTCAAGTCTCATTTTAATGCCTCTTTTCTCTAGACTTTGGAAAAGTAATATAGTGGCTACTCTATCAGAATAAAGTTGTGGAATGCAAAATTACGTGGAAAAACTAATTCACAGCTTTTTAAAATTGAGAGTTCTAGAGAAATAGAATTTTTTGTAATTAAGACAGTTTGATAAAAGCATCTTTAAAATAAATGCTCAAAAGCATTTTAGGATTAGACTTTGCAACATCATTGATTTCCATCAGAACTGTCTTAGGCTATTTCAAAAGTTTATATTCTACTTGTTTTTTAAACAACTTTAAGTAATTCTTTAAAGCTTATATTCTAAATTGAGGGTATTATGATATAATTTCTTACTAGAATGATATTAAATGATTAAAAATTTATTAAGTAATTTTGTAGATTTATTTTGTTTTAACGAATTATTTGAAATTTAAAAGATGTTTTTAATGCTATATTTCTTTATTCCCTTCCCTTATTTTGAAAAATCTTAATACATTAGAGAATTTTTGAGAAGCATATCTGTAAGAAGGATCTATAACTAAACATACTTAATTGATGAATCTATCTGAATTTGTTAATTGTTTTTATTGTAGACCTCACAGAAAGTGGCAAACCTTGGTGGCTGAATCACACATCATCTGCTTTTCCTTCTTCACTACCACTTAATGACACACATATGCGCTATAGACAGAAGAGATCAGTGAGCACCGAGCGGTTTGTGGAGACATTGGTAGTAGCAGACAAAATGATGGTGGGCTACCATGGCCGCAAAGACATTGAACATTACATTTTGAGTGTGATGAATATTGTAAGTTTGATCCCTATTTTATATACTATTTTATTTAATGATTTGTTATGCTTTGTATTAAGGTTATGAATTTTTACTATGAAATAAATGATAAAAATTGAACTGTCTAGAATGGTAACATTGGTTTCTTTTTTTGGTGCTAGAGATTAAACCCAGGGCCCTGTGTGTGCTAAGTATGTGCTCTACTGCTGAGTTACACCTCAACCCAAGAATTGGTCTATTAATGTTCAAGTTCCATAGAAAATAAATTTAAAGGTGACCTTATTGCTCATTTTTAGATTTTGAGGTTTTTTTTTTTAAATGGGATACTAAATTTTGCTTAAGGAACTTTCTTTCACTTGAAACTCTCTAATCACTATGATGTAGTTCATCTCTAGGAGAAAATATTTCTTGAGGTACACTTGTATAAAACCCTTTTACCAATGGCATCTTGAGGGAAGAGTCCTAAGTGATATAGGGTAAAAGAGTATCTTTTTTATATAGACAATGGTTAAAGCCATAAAAAATATTTTACCACTTTAGAAAAATCTAACTATTACCCTATGATTTTTGACTGACTTTGTGTCTTTTCTTCTTTTCTGGAGGTCAGGTTGCCAAACTTTACCGTGATTCCAGTCTAGGAAACGTTGTGAATATTATAGTGGCTCGCTTAATTGTTCTCACAGAAGATCAGGTAAGAATGAGTTAGTTTATACACCTAAAACTGTTAGAGTACACAATTGCTTCTTATAAAAGAATATATTTCCTTGTTACTCCTCTTAGGAAGTCCTACTTGAATATGACTAAACATTAATGTTTTAAGCAAATTTTAAAGATCTTACAATGTTATACCTCTTGTCTGATTAAAGCTCTTTCTCCATATGTGTATTTTAGCAATATGTTTCATTGTAGATGAGCCTGCCTTATAATAATGGTTTTGGTTGGTTTTGTATGCTGATAATCTCACATATGTTCACATTATCATTGAAGCTGGAACTAGAATGAATGTTGAATAATAAACTAAATGAACTCTAGGTAGATATTACAAAGATAGAAATTGGCAAGAGATTATTCCTAGAAACCATTGCTTCTAATTATAGTCCCACTTTAGTCTTCAAAAGTTTTAACAACTGACCTTAGTAATTTGTTTGGAACATTTCTGGTATGCATGTTGTATTGCAGCCAAACTTGGAGATAAACCACCATGCAGACAAGTCCCTCGATAGCTTCTGTAAATGGCAGAAATCCATTCTCTCCCACCAAAGTGATGGAAACACCATTCCAGAAAATGGGATTGCCCACCACGATAATGCAGTTCTTATTACTAGGTATGGTTTGTTGCAAATATTTTTCCTATGATTTTTTATATTTGTTATATTGTAACTATATTTGGTTCTATCTAAAGCATTATTCAGGTAATGATACAGAAAAAGCAAAGGTGTAATTTATTTGAGAAAGAGTATAGTCTGCTATCAGTGAGTTTACATCAAATGAACCAAATAAGAAAAATTTTAAATTTGACTTAGAAATTTAATACTTTCCTTCTACTGATAAGTCCTATTCATAATGTTTTATTGGAAGCACATGTACAATTTGTTAATTGAACAAAATACTAAAAGCAAGATTTAAAAGCATGAGAAAAATATTGATTTTAAAAATAAAGTTGTCACTTTTGGTTATAAAATACATTAACTATTCTTGCTGGGTGCTGGTGGCTCACGCCTCTAATCCTAACTACTCAGGAGGCAGAGATCAGGAGGATCGCAGTTCCAAGCCAGCCTGGGCAAATAGTTTGCAAGACCCTGTCTCAAAAAAACCCTTCACAGAAAAGGGCTGGTGGAGTGGCTCAAGGTGTAGGCCCTGAGTTCAAGCCCCAGTACTGAAAAAAAAAAAAATATATATATATATATATTTAGAGAGAGAGAGATATTAACTATTCTTATCTACTAGTTGTGTTAATTTATTAAAAGGGAAGAGGAGAATTGTTGTTATGTAATTTACTTAAACAAATGTCTGTTGAATTTAAAATATTTAAGTTAAGATATATCAATATAAACGAGATTTATTACACTATGTGTTAAATAGCTTTTCTCTCAAGCAAATTATTACTCAGTGGTAACCGAATGAATGTATATATTGCTTTCAAGTTTTACAAAGTTGTATTCAGATCCTTTATATTCTTTATCTCTGGCAGCAACTCTGTGAAGTAGGTAGTATTGTTATTTTCCACGTTAGGAGTGAAGAAGGTGGTTTAAAGGGTTAGTTACGTTTCTCAAGGTCATTCAGCTAGCAAATGAAAGAGTAGGATTCAAGCCTTGGTGATTTTGCCTTCTTTGATTGTACTATCCCATCTGCCTTACTTTCTTTTTATTTTTATTATTGTGGAGATGAGGGTCTCATTATGTGCCCAGGCTGGCCATAGGCTCCTGGGCTCAAACAATCCTCCTGCCCTAGCCTCCTGAATACGTGAGACTACAGGTGCACGCTACCATGCCCAGTTTTGTTTTAGTTTTTTATATTCTAGTTATGATTGGTTAGAAACATCATGCTTTAATAATTTTAAGATAAGTGTGTCTTTTACCTCTTACCAGCACTTAAAAAAGTAAAAGACAAAATAAAGTTTAAAAAAAAAAAAAGCAAAATGGAAGCATTATTCTGTCTTGACTGAGTAGAATAGTTCTTTGCTAACTTGATTATTTCTTTTCATTTGCAAGGCTGGATGTAACATATACATTATCTGTGGTGTGCTCATAGACATTAAAGTCTGTGGAGAGAGTATAAAGTATATGGGATCAGAATCTTGAGATTTTGTAAGAGAATGTAAATTTAGTTTGTGAAAAACTTCCCTGTTAACTGAATCACAGAGCAAAAGTTCCTGAGTTGTTTTTGTATATATATTTATAGATACATCTGTATCTTTACTTTAATTGACTTTACCTATCTGGCAACCGTAAACCAGAAAATTTTGTTTATGGCATGCTTACTTAAAACATCATATCGTTCTGTGTTGATAAGTGTTGACATATCAGACTGACTAATTCTGCAATTCCTCAGAGTCTTTGTGGTCTGAAATGTTTCAAATATACTTAAGGAGTTAAAAATATACTAGGAATTGTGCTAATGCAGAAACCTATGGATAAAAAGTATGGATATGATTAGCATTGATGAAATTACTAGAGAAAATGTCTACTATTAAAAAACGGTCACAGATATTTACATGGCTTCAGTATTTATATTGTAAAACCCTTTCTCTCCCCCAAAATGTTACTGTACATTTTCATTACTGTATCTGCATTGAATTTTTGCCTTTTACATCAAATGACAGAAGTTCCATCAAAGGTACACATTTATAAGTATTCAAGTGGTGAAACAGATCTGGGCAGTTAGCCATTCTTTCTTTGCACTAACTGCCACATTCAGATGTCCAATTTGTATTTGGAATTGGTCAGATATTTTTCTGATTTTCTTCACAGTTCTTTGTTTCTGTAAGATACTTTCAGTACCTTTTTGGTGTCTTGGATTTGAACATACATTCTGTCTTTTATTTGTCTCTAATGGTCACACTAGAATTGATCTCAGGATTTAGTAGGGTGCTTCTGAGTTCATATCTCATAATTCAGAATGTCTGATATAATAGAGGTTTACATAAATTCTTTTTTGGGGCAGCATATTTTCTTTTATGGAAGTCTCAAAGTGATTTCTATCCTATTTATTTGGGCCACAGAGTTACTAATCAAAATGAGATGACTGTCATCCCCCTTTGTTATTTTTCAGGGAGTGGAGGGGAACATCAGTGCTTGAATTCTCTCCCTTATTTGTGAAATAGAACATGTTTAAATCATAGTGCTACTTTCAGTAAAAATAAATATGAGAATTCCACAGATTTTTTTAAATTAATGTTGAAAATTGCTTCATTTGACTCACACATTCAGGGTTGTAACCCCACCATTTATTGGTAAGATCATGATTTGTGTTTCTCAAAATGTCAGCTCACTAGGGATAATGTGTCTGTGAAGAATTACAGAAGAAAACTGATTGATACTTTTATCTCCACTAGGCCAAGTTTTGCTCCAGGGACTTAAATGTTTTAAGCCAAAAATCATTTGGAATTATAGTCACCTAGGTAGCTATCTCTTTTACCAAATGATATCTTACTATTTTATTTTATTGAAAGATTTAAAACTGTGCTTTGCAAAGTTATTAGGTCACTCTGACTAGATAAAAAGAAAACAAAGAATATAAATTTAAAAATGGTTTTATCTGGTATCAATAATATTGAAATAAAACCAAAGAACATATTACAATTATTTAAATATATATACATATTTTTATTTTGATATGTATATGTGTGTGTTATATAAATGTATATAGGTATATATACTAGCCTATATGTCCTAACTGTTAACAGTTTATAATATGTAATACAGTGACTGTTTTCATCATCTAGATTTATCAAACCTCTACATTATACAACTTCATGTCACTTCCTAAAATAATATTTAGTTACTTCTCTCTTAGCTACGAATATGAGTTAGTGCTATAATGTATAAATGTGTGGAAATATGACACCTCCATGTGTTCCATTATATTTCACATATTATGTTGTATCTGCAACTTTAATAGTAGAAAAATGAAAATGATCTTTCATTTTTTGGTGATCTGATTTACCCAAATCATTAGTATTAGTAACTTGTATCAATTACTTCCATAAACTAGATATATTAAATTTATTTGATTGCCATCAGTATGCACTTAAATGTTTGATGTTTAGTAACTTTCTTAAATGGTATGCTATGACACTATATGACTAGGAAAAGAAATGATTAAGAGTTTGTATCTGAGACTCTAGAAACATAATTTAAGATGGTAAAATAAGACTATACATACACAGTTAAAAAGAAACTTGTTATTAAAACTATTAAATTATCTTTATTAAACTTTGTATTTTTGCTATTTTAATGAGTTAATTATTTTAAAAAGAATATAGTATTATGGTCACATAAGACAACATATGTACACTAAAAAAATAAAATTATATGTATTTATAGTATACAAGATGGTGCTTTGATATATGTATACATTGTGCAATGTCTAAATCAAGCATTAGCTTGACATGCATTACCTCACATACTTTATTAAGGTTTGCAAACTGCAAGCTATCAGCTACTTAGGTATAAAAGCCTGAAAGTTGATACATTATTTTTATCTCCACATGAAGTCAGAAAATATCCACTACTAGCTTAGTCAAGACAACTTCTAAATTTATTTTGTGGCAACATTTTTAAGAAATCAATAGATAGACTGAAATTCAGTAGAAGGTTAGTGACATAGTGAGTACTAGCATCAATGTTGGGCAATGAGCTTGAACAAACTAATAGGTCCTTTCTTAGCTTCTTTTCTATAAGTATGCTTTTTCAGATATTAACACATGACAGTTAATACATTCAGAGTAGGAATTATAGGCTAAACTCTTTTTGTGGTAACAGCTTTCTTGACATAGAATTCACAGGTAGCACAGTTCAGCTGGGCGTGGTGACTCACACTTATAGTCTCAGAGGCAGAGATCAGGAGGATTATGGTTTGAGCACAGTCCATGCAAAAAGTTAGCAAGACTACATATAAACCAATAAGCCAAGCATGGTGGTGTGTACCTGTGATCCTGGCAGGAGCAATAGGTATGAGGATCTTGGTTAGAGACTGACTCCAGGCAAAAACATATTTAAAAAAACAACTAATGTTAAAAAAAAAAAAAAAGAATTAAGGAATGGAGGGTTTTGCTCAAATGATAGAATGCCTGTTTCACAAGTGCAAGGCTCTGAGTTCAAAACCCAGGACCACTAAAATAAATGAATAAAGTTATAATTCAGTGGCTTTTGTATATTCATTCACAGAGTTGTGCAACTGTAGGTATAACTAATTGTAGATTCCCAAAGGAAATCATGTCCCATTTCCTTCATTCCCTACCTCACTGGGTTGCTGCAGCCCCAGAAAACTTCTAATCTGACTTTCTGACCGAATAGGTTTACTTTTTCTGGACCTTTCATATAAATTGGATCATACAATATGTGGTTTTTAGTGACCTTTCTTTTACTCAGTAAAATGTTTTCAAGGTTCATCCATGTTGTGGCATGTATTAGTATTACATTCCTCTTATTAGCCTAAACTGTTAGAAACTCCATGTTCCTAACTTTAAAGAATGCCTTTGTTTATAAGCTATTTTTCAGTTATTGTGCTTTTATAATTTTTCATTAGTGAAAAGCATAGGATTTGTAAATACATCTTGAAGTACTGATGCTAAAATTGCATCCAAGTCAAAAAATTTAGTCTT